CTTGAAGCAGCAAGTTGTTGGTCAGCTGAGCATTTCGAGACTCCATGGAGCGCCGAGTGAAGCTCGTGGAGCGCCTGTCCTGTACACGGTTGTTAGTGCGGACCCCGACTTTCGTCTTCATTACACGCTGTCAGGCAGCGTGCTGTCACTGATCTGAAGCTCATGCCAGTTTTGCAGCGCGGGCCCCGGCTCCAGAAAAAAAAACTGGAGTATTCGTTCACTGTCGGATTCCGCTTCATCAGCGGAGTGGCGTCTGTGGGAGAGTAGCTGCAGCTCCTACACCTACGCAGTAGATGGTTCTGAAGTTGAGGGCTTACACTGTCTTGCTTTGAAAATTTAGATTCTTGGGCTTGATCCAGAAACCTTTGAGGCTGGACACCAAACTGCATTGCCAAATGCCAAAGCCCAGAGCCCTGGCCATTCACTTTGGGTCGCCGAGCCACAACAACCTACAGCAGCTTTCAATCTCGTCCCACGAAGAGTGCCAGAGCGCCACGACAGTTGCGCGACAGATCGGGGACAGCGCCGCATCAGTGTCAGATCCATAGTGGCAACCGCTGGAGTCCTGTCCGCCAGTGGGGTCCTGCGAATGCCAGCTTGATTGAGCAGGCTCTGTGGCCAAGTAACACATGATATCGGCAACCAAGCCTGCCAATGACAAAATAGACCATCCCCGCCCCGTGCTGTTCGCAGTTCTAAGCGTTGAACACTTTTGGGGCCTCAGAGGCTTGGAACGGTTCAGAGTGCGAGCCTCCGACCTGGGAGTGAGTGCATGCCCAAAGCATGCCAAGCCATGACTTTCAACATCTGCCTCTGCTCGAGATGGGGGGTTCAGACGCCGAGTTTTCCAGTCTCCGCTGAGGCCATGCAAAAGGACACCGAGAGCTTGACGCGAGACTATCCAGATAACTGAGGCCCGACATGATGTTTCTTTGGTGTCGCATTTTTGTGTTGTGTCATATTCCGAGGGAAAACTCAACCCGCAGAGGGTCCAGTCTGTCAGGGTATGGTGGGTACAAGTAGGTAAAACAGACATGGCGAGCCAGAATATGACACAACAAGACGACAAACAGACACAAAAGGCACATAAAGACACACAAAAGGAAATCGAGACACAGCTGTCGTACGAGGACAAAGTAATCAAGACACAATGAGGCAAACGTAAAGGCAAACGCGTCAATAGCAGGAAAATTAGAGTCGCGAAATCCACAATGCACAACGGGCCCGAGCGCATAAACAACACAGCTTACTGCATCTACAGACACAAAAGGCAAATACAGGAACACGCAGACAGAGAAGTTAAGAGAAACAAAGCAGACCAAATCCAGATAGCGAAAAAGCTCCAGCCCTTTTTTATTCAACCCTAACACAGATGTCTGCGAAGTTCTGTGTTTTGCACCTCCCCTGCAAATGCGATCCCAGGCGTCTCCTCTCGCCAGTCCCAACGCTGCGCACCTGCATCTGCTTCTGCGAAGGAGCGTGCGAGAGCCAGAACGACAAGAATCAGTGTGCAGGGCAAACATGCACAGACAAAGGGTCACGAGGCTGGCTTCCTCTTCAGCACTGTCTCTTCCAGGCAATGATTCTGATGCGTTTCATGTGGCTGGTGTCCGTCTCTACAGCCCAACCCACCGACAGCTTGCGAGTCCCCATTCTGGGACAGGTGGACACTATCATTTACCTTCTTGTGGTGGATTGTTGGCTGATTTGCTTTTTCAGGATTGGGCATGGAAACCCTGCTTCTGGTCGGTTGTTAGCTGAAAATTGCCCAGCTTCTCCAGAGTGGAAGCCCCAAATGCTCTCTTCTGCTCGCTTGTTCGCTGAAGAAAGTCGTTTTTAAAGCTGATTCGTGTAAATCATTTCGCGGTCATATTCTTGAGCTTATGCGTTCTTGCTTCTTCGATGTTGCTCGTGCATTACTCTGCTTTTGCATGTTTGCTGATGCATTTTGTCATTGATGCCACATGTGATATGCAAGAATGATGCCATTGCCGTTTCTGCGCATCGTTTTCCTTGGCTGAAAGATAAGTATAACCTTCTGGCAGGCACGTTTCAATCTTTCCCAGGCATGCAGAGAATGGTCAAATCCACATTGGTCTATGCTTGCCAGAGTCAAGATCGACTTCGTGGGACGTGTCCTCATCATGGCGTCAGGTTGGTCTAAGTCTGAAGCCCTGAAAAAACAAAGTTGCAAATAAACAAAGTTGAATTACAAATTGGAGCTAGGCAAGAAGGTGAGCCTGGCCACCTGCGAAGCCTGCCAATCACCTGTAACGAAAGAATGGCTCGGCAGGAGCTTTCTGCTGGTCTTCTTTTACGTGTTGTGAGAAGTGTCATCCCTTTTTGTACATGAATCGCTTTCTGTGCTTGTCGTGCAATAAAGGGTACGTTGTCTTAGTTGAAGGCCATGGGCCATTTGGTTTATGCTGTTGCAATGCATGTAGCTAACCCCCTAGTTACAAAACAAAAGCTAGCTTCTGATGATCATCATCAAGTTGACTTAACAGTTGATGAGCCTTTGATGTTTCATGATTTCAACTATGTATTTGAAACTTTTCCTCATTTAGCAATTGTTTTTTTCATAGCGACCTGCTTCGTTTAACTTGACAGACACATTTGCGCAGGGCTTCATGATCATACATTTTGGGTTGCCTCCAAATTGTAAACCGCTTCATTAGCTCTGGTTAAGATTGCCTTGTCGGTTCATTGTAAATGCAAATCATAAATCAAGCTAAATCAGAATTCAAGAGCCTTCAAACACATAGTGGGAGAAACCGGAAGCGCCATCGTCCATCCTCCCTTCATTTTACATGTAAACAGCGATACTTCCCACTCGTCGTAGCCCTACAAGTCGAAACGTTCCGAATTTGAAGCGCTTCCATTTTCCAAATTTCTACATTTGCGATGGCCTATGTCTTTGAGACGCGAGTTTCCTTCGAGGGTTTCGAGTTGAGGCTCGGGCTTAAGTAGTTAGGGTTTATGGTCTGTGGAATTTTGGGCATACGGTTGCTTCGGCCTATTTGTGGTTTTGTGGTTTATGTTTCCTTCCTGTAGCATATGCACCCTCAACCCCTCAATTCCCGGCCTCTGAACCTGTAAGCCTCAACGCCCTCATCCCCCTAGACCCCATACATCATAACCCCCAACACCCAAACCCCCGAGCGCGAAAACCCCCAAACCCCAAACCCGAGGCCCTGAAGTTCACTTAAACCCCAAAATCCCTAAACTCCCTAAACCTGAACCCTAAACCTCATAACCCCCTGTAAAAACCCAAACCCTAAACCCTATAATCCCTAAAATCCTAAAACCCCAAAACCCTTAAAGCCCTCCTCCAGAGGAGTGCTTGGCCAAGTACGGCCCGCGCCGCGCGGTCAGCTATGCAGGGTTCAGAGGCTTCAGGGTTTCAGGGTTTTTTTAGGGCTTTAGGATTGCCTTGGGGTTTTAGGGTTTATCAGGGTTTTTGGGGTTTTAGGGGTCTGAAGGTGTTAGGGTTTTAGGGTTTATCAGGGTTTTTTGTTTTAGGGTCGTAAGGTTTTAGGGGGCTTAGGGGTTTAGAGTTTAAGGGTTTGGGGCTTAGCGTCTAGGGGTTTCAGGGTTTAGGATTACGGGCTTCGGGTGTTGGCAGGGGTTTAGGGTTTCGGGTTCCAGGCTTAGGGTCGAGGGGCTCATAGGGGTTAGGGGTTCCTAGCTTGACAGGTATTCATAAGGTCAGGCAAGTTGAAGGCATATGAATGTCAGAGATTTCGAAGGCCTCGCAGTATCGTTGGTGAGATCTTCCAGCAAGAAGCACCTGTTAGGTTGGGGGCTTAAGGGGCATGTTTGGGGCTTAGGGTTTCGGGCTTAGGGTTTGGAATTCAAGGTTCAGGCTTGCTTTGCGGACGATATCCGTGAGAGGATTCCCGTCCCCCTGTTTTGAGAGATTTATGGTTGAGGCTTTGTACCCAGTCCCATATCCATGAACCCTCAACCCTGAACCCTCACCCTGAACCCACCCAAACTTGCCCAGGCATTTACGAGCGATTTCAACAGCTCTTTCGCTGCATCTGCGAAGTTCTTACCCTGAACCCTAAACCCTAAACCCTAAACCCTAAACCCTAAACCCTAAACCCTAAACCCTAAACCCTAAACCCTAAACCCTAAAACCCTAAACCCTAAACCCCAAACCCTAAACCCTACGCCCCAAACCCTAAAATCCTCGATCCCTGTGACTTACAGTCGCCCCGTAAAGCATACGACCCCAGCCCCAAGGCTTTGGGTTTGGGGTTTGGGGTTTAGGGTTTGGGGTTTGGGGGTTTAGGGTTTAGGGTGTGGGGGTTTGGGGGTTTGGGGGTTTGGGGGTTTGGGGGTTTGGGGGTTTTGAGGCTTGAGTGTCTAGGATTTGGGGTTTGGGGTTTGGGGTTTTGAGGGTTTGGGGTCTGGGGTGTCGGCTTTTGTTTGAGGCTTCGGGTGTTAGATTTCAGGGTTGCCGGGCCTAGGGTTCGGAGTTTGAGTGCTTTCAGGGTTTAGGTCGGGTCCCTAAACCCTACACCCTACACCCTACACCCTACACCCTAAACCCTAAACCCTAAACCCTAAACCCTAAACCCTAAACCCAAAACCCTAAACCCCAGGCTCTTCTTGCTTTTGCCCGTCTTCGCCGTGCTGGAGAGTCAGGCCGCTCTTGGGTTTCAAGTTGGGTTTAGGGTTTCGGGGTTTGGGGCTTAGGGCTTAGGGTTTTAGGATTTAGGGTTTGGGGTTTAGGGTTTAGGGTTTGGGGTTTGGGGTTTGGGTTTAGGGTTTGGGGTCAGGGAGGGCCTGTGCTGCAGGTGGAACCCAAAGGATTTGGGGGCCGAGGGGTCACCCTAAACAGAAAGCCCTCCACCCGAGCTCCGAAGACCCCAAAACACACTTTAGGGTTCAGGGTTTAGGGTTTATGCCTAAAAGCCGTGAAGCAGAAGCCTCTATAGGCATTTCTGCCCAAAAGCGTTGGGTCCCGAGCTCGACGGGCAACGTCAGTGGAGATGGCGCAGCCAGACGTGATGCTGCCATGCAGCGTGAAGGGGCGGGCAGCTGGGAAAGAAGAAGAAGATGACCCCAACGAGCGGAGCACCTGCGACCCCGAATCGCCACATTCAAGCAGCGGCTTCGGCACCTTGCCGGCAGAGCAGGAGACGCTTGAGGAGGAGGATGCACAGGAGGAGGAGGCCGTGAATGTCAGGCCGGCGCCGGGGCTGAGCCTGACCAAGGAGCGGGCCATGGCGCTGCAGGTGGAATTGATGGCCCAATACAGTGCGCCAACCTTTCAGAACCAGCTCCATGCACTTACCCGCACGCATGAGCCCGGTAGCAGCAAATTTCGGTCGGGTCTGTGCAAGTTGGTGCGTCGTGTCCAGCTCGACGTCATCCCCAGGTACGGCTTCAGCGCATCTGATGAAGGAGTCGAGAGCATGCTGGTCCTCTTCCGATCGCTGGCGAAGGATCCCGACATTGAGGTCAATGGTGTTGTCATCAATGACCTGCTGCAGGTGAAGCTTCCACCCATGGAGACAAATCACAGCAACAGGATCATCGAGAAACCTTTGTCCAAGTATCGTCTCCTAGACATGCTGCGTTGCCAACTCATCGAGTTCAGCCAAGTCAAATTCCAGATGGATGTGAAGGAACTGAAGAAGTGTGCCGACTACAACTCCGGCCGCGTCTTCGACCCAGCCAAGCCACTGGAGCGAGCCTTTGAAGACCCGGAGGGCTATTTCCATCTCGAAGGCCGAGCAGACCTGGCTCTCACGGTTCACAAATTCCTGCTGCCTCGGCATGGGTTCGAACCCTCCAAGGAAGGCGTGAAGGACATGATCCGCCACTGCGCTCCTTTTGTGCAGGACCCTGAGGTGGCGAATCTCTTGGACCGCGTGAACGAGAAGTTGGGCATGTCGGCCGCCGCCTGTCGACGCTTCAGGCAACTCATCGCCCAACTTACATGAAGCAAGGCGCAGTATACTACTGTTTTTGGTGAGTGTATATTGGGTTCCGTTTAGATATTGGTGAGCGTATCTACTTGGTGTCGTTTTGGGGATACAAGCAATGGCAACCCTGCTTCACGTGAGAGATTTTTGGGTTCCGCAGAAATCTGTCGGAGACCGAGGCCTGTTCAGTTTGCTCATTTTCCTGCTGAGGCCAGCTATGTAAGGTGTAACCCTAAACCCTAAACCCTAAACCCTAAACCCTAAACCCTAAACCCTAAACCCTAAACCCTAAACCCTAAACCCTAAACCCTAAACCCTAAACCCTAAACCCTAAACCCTAAACCCTAAAACCCTAAACCCTAAACCCTAAGTCGGGTGTGGTGGTGCTGGCGTCTGGGCATTCATGGACCGGCTGTGTAGCGGAAGCTACTCCATATCTAGACGTAAGGAAGCACTTGCGCCCTTCGGGAGAAAACTCGGCCAATCTCAAGGTGAGATTTGCTTACGGGGGCCCCGTGCGCGTGCAAGTTGGGCGCTGCTGGGCGTTTTATGGACTCTTTCCTGCAGTCAGTGTCCCACGCACGCCATTTCCTGTTTTCCCCATTTCCTGTACAAAAGCAGTCAAGCTGCATCCTTCTAATTTTCGACCGACGGTCCCTGTCAATAAGAAGCACATGGAAGCTCGGTGCAAGCAGTGCGAAACCCAGAGAAGCGTTTTGAACTTGGCAAGAGTTTGTGTTCTTGCATCACAGATACCAGGTTCTCCAGTGACTTAGAAGTACGGGAAACGCTTCTCAGTTGGACGGCTTCCGGATTTGCTCATTCTCCTGCCGGTCTGCCCCGGTCAGAAGGCACCCAAAGGGTGTCAGGATTTCAAGGTGGTGCTTGCGCCTCCATGGACCAGTCCAGTTAGGGTTTAGGGTTTAGGGTTTAGGGTTTAGGGTTTAGGGTTAGGGTTTAGGGTTTAGGGTTTAGGGTTTAGGGTTTAGGCGTGCCAAACGGGAGCGCGCTTTGGGAGCGCGCGGTGGTCTGCAGACCTACCCACCCCAAGCCGCCCACTTTCAACTCTCAAGGAGTTAAGACCTTTCTTTTTTTTTACAAAGCATCACATGAGCACTCACGCCCTTTTTGGGGATTTCCAAAAGGTGCGTGGACCAGGCGCAAAGCTGCAGCAGACGGAAACGAGAGGGTCCGTGAAGACAGCTTGGGTCGGGGCGAAGGGGCTACGAAGGGATGGGCCAGGAACAGACAAAGGCAGCGAGGCTTGGTTGGCGCGAAGGGGCTCCAGCCAGGAAGAACACACAGTGAACAGCTTGGGTTGGGCAGAGCGCCACGGAAACAGGGCTGGTGTGGCGGATAGCTTGGCTTGGCGCGAAGGGGGTAAGGTGGGGTGCCGAACCAGGGTCTGGACCAGGCAGCAAACGGAAGCGAGGCAGGACAAACTGGTGCGCGGACAGCTTGGCTTGGCGCAAGGGGGTAAGATGACTCGGCCAGAGGCCCAGGGCCAGGGCCAGAGCCAGGGGGCGCAAAAGTAGTCAAACAGGGCTGGTGTGGACCAGGCACAAACTGGTGCGCGGACAGCTTGGCTTGGTGCGAAGGGGATAAGGTGGTTGGGGACCTCCACAAGCTGCGTGGACCAGGCACAAACGCAAGCGATGTGCGAGGACAGCTTTGGTTGGCGCGAAGGGGCTATGGGACAGGACCAGAACCAGGGCCAAATCCAGGGGCAGGGTCAGGGTTAGGGCCAGAGCTAGGGCCAAACCGAGGGCCAGCGGCAGGGTCAAGGCCAGGCCAGGCCAGGGTCCAGGGCCAGGCCCAGGGCCCAGCAGAGTCAGGCCCAGGACCAGGGCCATCAGGGCCAGGGCCAGGGCGAGGGTTAGGGCCAGACCCAGGCCACCAGGGCCAGGGCCAGGGCCAGACCCAGGGCCAGGGCCAGCCCAGAACACCACCAAGCAAAAACCCAGCCAGAGTCCTGCCTGCCCCAACAAAACGGCCCCTGATCCCCTCAGCCGACCAAACAATGTGCGCGGACAGCTTGGAGTTTAGGGTAATATAATATAATACAGTGACAACTGCTGACTCGGCCTGTGCCTGCCTGGAGGCTAAGCCAGCCTGGAGGCCAGCTCGGTCGCCCACCTGGGGCTCCCTCGCAGGGTCTCACTGAGCGCTCGACCAGCGCCCGCCTACCCCAAAAGACAAGAGAGTGGGGTGGCGGGCGGGTTTAGGGGTTTAGGGTTTAGGTTGTATATCTGAGGACGGGAAGAAGGCGGGTTTTTGTCGAGAACTATCTGGGTCGATTGAACTAGAGTGGGCGTTTCTGTCATACTTATGTGGGGAGTTCCTCAAATTATGGTGCTCCTATCTTCTTGGGTCCCCTAAGAGTATGGCACCCTCACAAAAAGGACCCCCCACCAATTTGGAGAACTACCCACATGTTCATGTTGAGATGAATAGCGCTAAACCCTAAACCCTAAACCCTAAACCCTAAACCCTAAACCCTAAACCCTAAACCCTAAACCCTAAACCCTAAACCCTAAACCCTAAACCCTAAACCCTTAAACCCTAAACCCTAAACCCTAAACCTGAACCCTAAACCCTAAACCCTAAACCCTAAACCCTAAACCCTAAACCCTAAACCCTAAACCCTAAACCCTAAACCCTAAACCCTACACATGAACCTCCAAGTAGGCGGATAGAATTGGCAAGTATCCATGCAGGCTCCAGCATCATGAGGCTCGGACTTGGCAATGCGCAGGGCAAAACGACAGGGGCTACCCAAGGAACAGCTTGTCTGGGGTTTAGGGTTTAGGGTTTAGGGTTTAGGGTTTAGGACAAGTCATCCTCGCAACCTCGCAGATCTTCGTGGTGCACGGCGGGCTCTTCCGCATCCCGGAGGCAGGTTCTCTTTTGGGGGGATACAGGGGCAGATAGGGGGTTCATAGGGTTTAGGGTTTAGGGTTTAGGGATGCCCACGAAATGAGAATCGCTATTCTTTTCAGGGTTTGGTTTTTTGTGCTGCCGTGCGGTCCGAACAAACCTGACCCCGTGGACCGCTTCGTACTTTTTGGGTTCATGTAGGTTTTAGGGTTTGGGGTAACCTATATGTATATATATATATATATCTATAGATACATACACATGTACACATATACACACATACATACTCCTGCTTTGGAATGTGCTAAATAAAAACCAGATAAGTAAATAAAAATGAATAAATATAAATAAATAAGTAAATATAAATATAAATAAATATATCTATATATATATATATATACATATATCTCTCTATGTATATATACACATATATATATATATGTATATATGGACTCCCTCCAGTTATCTACAGTTTTTTTTGTTGGGGGGGGGGGGGAGAGTGCCTTTTTTTGCTCAATATACATTTTACATCTGTTATGCATATACATTTTACATCTACTCAAAGCAACATCAAGAAAAAGGAGAATCTTGAAACTCTTGACACCCAGGTGAAGCCCATGGCCGATTGATAGCCGGATCCGGTTAGATTCGGTTGGATACCGGGCCTCTGGTTTGAAGATTGAAGATTCCCTTGGAAAGTTTCTGAGGGATCTTGAATCTTCAAACTTCGAACCAGAGGCCCGGTTAGATCTGACCGGCTCCGGTTAGATCTAACCGGTCTTTCAGTCGTTTCTAGGGGTTTAAGGGTTTGGGGGTTCAAGGGCTTTAGGGACTGAGGGGCTCAGGGCCCGTGGGCTTCGGGGTTTTACGACATCAGGGGTTCTACGTTCAACTGTTTTAAGGTTCAGGGTTTAGGTTTGAGGGTTTAGGGTTGTGCCAGCTTCAGGTCACGCTAGAGCGGCTGCGCACGTTGCCGTACCGGCGGCCCTACCCCCTCGGCCTCAGCGAGGCCCACATGCCAAAACTTCTGTTTAGGGTTTAGGGTTTAGGGTTTAGGGTTTAGGGTGCGAGGGTTTGAGGGTCCCAACACCCCAAAACCCCAAGCCCAAACCCTTTACTCCTAAACACTAGCCTGGACCATGAATTTCAAACACCCTCAATCCGAAGACCCCCCATCATCGAAGTCCCAAAACCTGAAGCCCTCTCTTCCTGGATTGTGGCATCCGGTACTGCCACCCAGCATACTTGGGCGCCGAAAAGAAAGCCGTACTTGAGCCACGTTTTGCTTAGGATGGCTAAATCATCCCTTTAAAGACTTTATAGGGTTCCAGCATTTGCACTAAACTCCACAAGGTTGGAACATCCTTATCCCCATACCCCAAAAGGCATACTAAAGGGAATCCCAGCTCTAACCATCCTTAAACCATGGTTTAACTTTCTGGAGTTTACTGTAGTGCAAACTCAACGCCCCACACCCTAAGCTGCAAATGACGGATCTCAACCCCCACCCCGCCCACCAGAGTTTGGGATTCAGGGTTCAGGGTTGATTGACCACGACAAACACCTAATTCTCCAAGATCCCAAGTTTGGGCCTGGTGATTCTGATGACCGCTTTGGGGTCTAGGGTTGATAATCTCCAAGATGAGTTGGGTTTAGGTCTGACCTCGCCCTTTCTTCCCCCGCTTTCCTGGCCTCCCCTGCCCCCGCCTCTGCCTTTGGCCCCCTTCCCTGCCCTCTAGCCAATGGCGGGAATTGAGGGACAGCCCTAAACCCTAAAAAGGCAGTGGTTTGGGTGGTGGCCTGTGAAAGCTCACATCGGGTGGGGGGAAAGAAACCAGCACCAATGAAAATTGTTGGACTGCATTGAAAAGACAGGCCTTCGCGTGACATGCCGCCCCCCCCACACCCCCCTGGGTGTGTAGGGGCCCCATTTCCACATGGTACTTACTGATCCTGCGCGGCGAGACGCCCTAAACCCTAAACCCTAAACCCTAACCCCTAAACCCTAAACCCTAAACCCTAAACCCTAAACCCTAAACCCTAATTCCCTAAACCTGATTGGGTTCAGGGCCCAGCAAGTCGCCCCCCCAGGAGGAGCGTGCCAGCGGCAAAGACTGGACTGAGGACTCGCCAGGGGTTTAGGGTTTAGGGCTAGGGTTTAGGGTTTAGGGTTTAGGGTTCAGGTTTAGGGTTTAGGGTTTAGGGTTCAGGGTCTAGGGCTTAGGGTTTGGGGCTTAGGGTTCAGGTTTAGGGTTTAGGGTTTAGGGTTTAGGGTTTAGGGTTTAGGGTTTAGGGTTTAGGGTTTAGAGGTTTCAGGTGAAGAGTTGAGGGGTGCAGTGCAGGGTTTAGAGGTTTCTCGGGTTTATGGGGTTAGAAATTGGGGCTTTTGTCTCTTGCACTTGTGGCCTAGAGGATGAAAGGTGCACAGGGTTTAGGGTTTAGGGTTTCGAGTTTAGGGTTTAGGGTTTAGGGTTCAGGTTCATGACATCGGGCTTGGGGTTGGGAGTTTTGGGCTTAGGGCTTTGGGAATGTAGGTTTTCGATGTGGCCTTTTCCCGTAGTAATTCCCAAATTTCGTGAACAAGGGCAACACTTCGTAGTTGTCCAGAAGACATCAAGAGCATGCCAAGAGACAAGTTGCAGCTTATCCAGCATATCGTGATCCCCAAAATGCCAATCTGTCCCTCTTTCAATAGGCTCACGGAAGCACCATTACTTTGTGGTACTTTACTGTAACTTTGGATCCTTAGCCTTTTTGCGTTTATTGGGTTTCTTAATAAGGCAGCTAAAATTTTAATTTTAGCTACCCTTCTGAGTGTAGCCAAGATTAGATCCAGTGGCGCAGAATCGCTCGTTTCAGTTCGTGTCACTGGTAAGAGCGAGGTGCTCTCCGGGGCTTGTTCAAGAGCTGCGTCGAGGCCTTAAAGCCTTAGAGGCTGAATAGGTGTTGTACGAGGTTTAGGTTTAATTAGGGTTTAGGGTTTAGGGTTTAGGGTTTAGGGTTTAGAGGGCTTTAGAGACTACTGGCGGGTTCTTAGTCGGGAATGAGGGAACTCGAGGCTCGAACGTCGAGCAGCCGCTCTTTTCACTTATATGGTGGCTTCGCAAAATATGGTCCCTTTTGGGATCACCTTTGTACGGGCCGCCCTTATTTTTTCGGGTACACAAAAAGGATGCCTCTTCCCTACACCCCTAAACGCCTATACCTTAAACCTTTACAGATCCATGTTGGGCTGTTCACTCTTATACTAACGGTCCTTCATAGGAATTATACTAGGGGGTACGATAATCCCTATTTGAGGACTGTTAGTATAAGGGGGAACCCTAAACCCTAAACCCTAATTAAACCCCAAACCCTAAACCTTAAACTAACCCTAAACCCTAAACCCTGTACCCCAAACCTTTACAGATGTCTTCCCAGGATGAAAAGATCCTTTTCGACGCGCAGTGGGCCGACCCGGTGGACACGCTGGGCAACACCCGGCCGCAAGCTCGGTTTGGCAAACTGCGCCCTACACCCTACACCCTACACCCCAAAAACCTTAAACCCTAAACCCTAAACCCTGGACCCTAAACCCTCAACCCTAAGCCCTAAGGAGTAGGCTTTAGGGTTCAGGCTGTAGGGTCGGCTGAAAGCTTTTTCAGCGCCGTGCAAAGAGTAAAAGCCTGAGCCCTGTTGGGAATAGTAAAGTCTCACCAATCTACGAACTGCTTAAGAATCCTCCAAAAGAGTAAAAGATGTTCTTCCTTTTCAGAGCAACACAGGGATCATTATCTTTCATTTCGTTTTTTTTTTTTTTTTTTGGGGGGGGGGGCCTTAAGCAAGTAGTAGCTTTCGCTTCAAAAGAAGTTTCAGGGTACTGGGCAGAGGGAAGGGGTCGGTCGCCGGAAACTTCGCACGCTGGGCCTTGACGCCAAACCCCAAGCCTTATCTCATTAAACCCTAAACCCTAAACCCTAAACCCTAAACCCTAAACCCTAAACCCTCAACCCTAAACATCATAATCATCCTAAGCATCCTGAGAATGCTTGAGGTGTCGCAGGGAGCGCAGCAGTTTGCCAAGTTTCGAGATTGTAAGCTCGCTGCTTGGAGCGTCTGAGAGCTCGGAGTTTCAGAAAGTTTCAGAGTTACAGTAGTTCGGGATGTTTGGGAGTTGGATTGCTTGAATTGAAGAGGCGATACTGCGGTCCTTGCCGATCTGTCCACAACGCCCTACGCCCCCAAACCCTAAACCCTAAACCCTCAACCCTCAACCCTCAACCCTCGACCCTCAACCCTCAACCCTCAACCCTCAACCCTCGACCCTAAACTGTCGAGGTCGAGGTTGCCGAACTCAGGCATCCCAAAGGCCCCGACTTTCAACCCCCCCCACACGGCCCTCAACCCTTAAGTTTTCGACCTTTAGGCCCGAGACCCTAAACCCTAAACCCTAAACCCTAAACCCTAAACCCTAAACCCTAAACCCTAAACCCTAAACCCTAAACCTTAAGCACCTTCAAGACACGTAGCTGCGGAGGTCCTCCCGCGGGAGCATGGTGATGAACTTCGGCCCGGACGTCACGCGAAAGTTCCTTCAGGAGGGGGTTTGGGGGGTTTAAGTACCTTAAGCCCGTAACCAGGGTTTAGGGTTTAGGGTTTAGGGTCTAATCCGAGCTTCTGTTTAATTGGTGGGGGGGCCCCCCCCCCCCAAAATAAGGAAGGCAGGGTTCCGCAATAATTGGACCATGGCCCTGCATTGATTCTCTATTAAAAACAATAGGCTGCAGATCCCTGAGGTGCTGTAGCTCCGCATCTCCGCAAGCAAAACAAGAAGCCTGCCGACAGATTTTTGAACCCCCCCAAAAAAATTCCTTTAAATGTGGGGGGTTTGTCCCATACGAAATCCACCCTAATGGAAAGTAGTCTTCCGGCGGGCTTCCGGCCAAAAAAAATTTCTTTAAATATGGGGGTATTAATTAAACTGATGCTCGGATTAGGGTCGAGGGTTTGGGGCCCCCTAGCCCTAAAAGTCCAAAACCCTACATCCCAAACTAGATTTCCGCCCCTTTTTGACTGAACTCTAAAGCCTTGGTTTTGCCCGGGGACTCCAACTGACGAAAGCCAGAAGGGGACGCAGAGGTCCAGGGTTTAGGGTTTGGGGCTTAGGGTTTAGGGTTCAGGGAGTAGGGCTTGCGGTGTTCTAGGTTCCTAGGCTCTGGAAGATGTTGGTTTCTGTGGTTCTCCGAAGAACCCCTGCGCGCAGCGCAGGACAACGGACTCGCGCTGTGCATCCGCTCACATCAGGCCAGGGGCTCTCTGGGAGCTTGGGCCGCTTGCGGACTTAGAGCTTCGGGGGGAAAGTTTTGTTGAGCCCCCGAAAAGCCTTGAGCCGACCAGGGTTAGGGTTTAGGGTTTAGGGTTTAGGGTTTAGGGTTTAGGGTTTAGGGTTTAGGGTTTAGGGTTTAGGGTTTAGGAATCCTCAAACCCGCAAGCACCTGGATGGGTCCGGGGTTCGGCGGATCACGAAGCAGCTGCAGAGGGTTTTGCCGCCATAGCTTACCGGACGGGGAACGTTGAGGAAGCGTTTGGGAATGCCTTTTTTCAAAAATGACCCTAAACCCTAAACTTCAAACCCCAAACCCTAAACCCCAACTCCTAAACCCTAAACCCTAAACCCTCAACCCTACTGTGGTGTGTTGGCCAAGTTTTTCCTGGAGAAGAACAGTTTGGACCAACGGCTCAAAGGACATCACAAGACATCAAGGCATGGGCTTAGGGTTTCGGGTTTAGGGTTTAGGGTTTAGGGTTGAGGGTTTAGGGTTTAGGGTTTAGAGTCTGGGGGTCATAGCTCGCGAAAGGCAGTGGCCCCCGGAAGCAGCAGGTGCTCATCCGGGAAGATACGGCATCTGAGCGAAAGCTGGGGAAGCGGCGTGTGGCTTTTGCAGGGTTTGGGGTTTAGGGTCCACCCTAAACATGACACTCAACCCCAAACCCTAAACCCCAAACCCCAAACCCTAAACCCTAAACCCTGAATCCTGAATCCTGAACCCTGAACCCTAAACCCTAAACCCTAAACCCTAAACCCTAAACCCTAAACCCTAAACCCTGAACCCTAAACCCTGAACCCTAAACCCCTAAACCTCGAGTGCGCCAGGTCCCGCGGACCCTGCAGGGCTTCGAGCTGCAGCACGACGGCGGCCCGGAAGCAAGAAGGCCTTGAGGCTTTTAGGCTTTTAGGGTTTTAGGGTTTAGGGTTTAGGGTTTGGGGTTTAGGATTTTAGGCCTTCAGGCTTTGTGGGTTTTAGGGTTTCGGGTTTTAGGGTTGCGGCTTTTAGGCTTTCAGGGTTTTAGGGTTTCGGGCGTGTTTTCAGGGTTTAGGGTTTAGGGCTTCGGGTTTAGGGTTTTAGGGTTTAGGGGAGGCTTTAAGGCTTTCAGGGTTTTAGGGTTTAGGGCGTGTTCGGGTTTAGGGTTTTAGGCCTTAGGGCTTAGGGATGTTTAGTTTCAGGATTTTCCCGAATGCGTGGCAGAAGGGTTGATTTGAGCAAACCGAGGCATTTTCTGCTCGCAGTTGGATATAACATGATGAGTTCCGCGAATCGTGTCGTGCGTTGCGTGTCGTGCGTCGCGTGCGCTCTCTACGCGGATTACGTATCACGTGTCGAGGTTCGGGTTCGAGGCGTCTATTTGGGGCTTAGGGTTTAGGACTTGAAGGGTCTGTGTTTGGGGTATGGGGCTTGCGGCTTGTTTGGTTAAGGGTGCATGAATTGCAAGGCTGTTAGGGTTCCGGACGGCTCTTTAGGGTTCTGAGGTGCGGGGATGGAGTGCAGGGCATTCTGATAGAATCTTGGCTACTGCCCGCCATTTCCCTAGAGCCTAGGGGTACCCCTTTTTGCCCCCACATCGAATAGAATCCCCTCAAAGGGCCTCCCCTAAAAGGGTACCCCTATTTTCGGAAACCTCCAAACGAGGTCCGTGATGGCTTGTCTCTAGCATCCCTATGATCCCCCCCAGGTCGTCTTCTCACTGTCTTCAGCGCCTCCAACTATGGCGGGCGCATGGCTAACACAGGCCCGGGGACGAACTGCTCGGGGGTGCAAGGGTTTAGGTTCTAGGGTTTAGGGGTTTAAGGTTTGGGGGTTTAGGGGTTTTGGGTTGAGGGTTTAGGGGTTCAAGGGTTTGGGGTTTAGGGTGGGGTGCAGGGTTTTAGGGTTTGGGGTTTCGGGGCGGACATGGCATCTGGCCTTGTCCTTTCCGCGCAACCCGAAACCCTGAACCCTATGTCCATTGTTCCCCTAACCCTTAAACCCAAAGCCCCTAAACCCTAAATTCTAAACCCTGAACCACCTTAAGCCCGAAGCCCGAAGCCCTAAGCCCTAAACCCTACACCCTAAACCCTAAACCCTAGACCCTAAACCCTAAACCCTAAACCCTAAACCCTAAGCCCTAAACCCTAAACCCTAAACCCATTCCCCTAAACCTTAAACCCTACTAACCCTAAACCCTAAGCCCTAAATCCTAAACCCTAAACCCTAAACCCTGAACGCTGAACCCTAAACCCTAAACTCTAACCCGGAGCCTCCGCGCAGCCAGGCGCCGTGGCCGTGCTTCGCCGTGGCCCCGCGGCCGAGCGGAAGGCGGATCTGTCCTTGAGGCGGGTGGAGGATTCAGGGTTTGGGGTTGAGGGTTTAGGGTTAAGGGTTAAGGGTTTAGGGTTTAGGTTTTAGGGTTGAGGCTTTGGGGTTGATGTGTGTTGAACTCCAGACCCCATGCCCTAGGGGATTTGGGGGTTTTAGGGTAGCTAGGGTTTAGGCTTTTGGGTTGAGGGTTTAGGGTTGAGGGCTGAGGATTACTTCTCGGGTTTGGGGTGTAAAGGTTGAGGGTTGAAGGTTGTGGTCTAGTGCAGAAGCTGTGAAGGGCAGGTTTCGTAGCATGTGAAGGGCAGCCATGTAGACCGGCTGTGCAGGGCTGTCCAACCTTTTTTCTCCCACCTCAGGCCGTCTCACTCGGCAAGCCGCCCGCGCTCTGATCCCCTAGAACCCTAATCCCCTAACCCTAATCCCCTAACCCTAATCCCCTAACTCTAATCCCCTAACCCTACTCCCCTAACCCTAATCCCTAACCCTAATCCCCTAACCCAAATCCCCTAACCCTAATCCCTAACCCTAAATCCCCTAACCCTAATCCCCTACTCCTACTCCCCAAAGTCCCGAAGCACTGGGATGCAGGTTTCCATGCGGCCTACGCTTGGAGTGTACGGAGCACGAGTTCCCCCAGGCCTCAGGGGATGAAGACTCGTACTCCTGAGGTTGTACCTCTAAGGGCTCCCCTTAAAGAAACCCTACTATGGCTCTTATATACCCCTAGTTCCTAAACTGCCCCAAACCCTAAACCCTAAACCCTAAACCCTAAACCCTAAACGCCAAAGCCTTAAGGGTCCAAGGAAGAACCCCTAGACAGGCGCGCCCTGACACGTGGTTTTGGGATTTGGGGCTTCGGGTTTGGGGGGTTTCGGGTTTAGGGTTAAGGGTTTAGGGTTTGGGCTTTAGGCTTTGGGGTTTTTGGGTGCGGGGCTTGGGGGGTTGGGGTGCATCGGTGCCGTGGATGGGAAGTGCACAGATGTCAAGGGGACATTTTTTGCACAACCTGCCTTTGCCTCGTGTCGGAAGTTATGCATATGAGGTAGGTGTTGCATACTATCCAAGTAGCACCATGAACACCCCACATGTACACTCACCTGCACATGTAAGAAACCTGAATACTACTTCATTCGTTTTGCGGACGATGGATGGGCACAAAGCATGCTCTTCGCCATCCGCGCCTTAGAGCAATTGTTTTCAGGGTTCAGGTTTCGGAATTAAGGAATCTTCTTTCACAACTTCACAACGGTCCCACACCTACGTCCCGAAACCACCAGAACTGAACCCTAACCCAGAAAGCCGAAACACAAAACCCTGAAGCCACAATTGAACCTCTAAACCCCAACCCTGAACCTTTAAACGCTCGAGCAACCCTAAACCCTGAAGCCCGAACCTTTAAGTTTGCAACCCTGCAGCCCTGCAACCCTAAACACTGCAGCCCTACAACCCCAAACCCTCAAAGCCAGCCCCAAACCCTAAACCCTAAACCCTAAACCCTTATACCCTTATACCCTTATACCCTGATACCCTTATACCCTTATACCCTAAACCCTAAACCCTGAACCCTAAACCCCTTGAGCCCAAAACCCTTCCTTGGTAGCCCAGTGGTACGCTTTTCCTTTTTTTGAAGCAAGGTTCCCAAATACAGTTACCAACCGAAAAAAGGGTGCCCTGACTATGATATGGTTATTGGGCTACCAAGCCTTACCCCCCCCCCTCCCCCCCCACGCCTTGTAGCCAAGCCCTCAAGCCTAAACCACAAACCCTAAACCCGAAACCCGAAACCCTAAACCCTAAACCGGAACCCTAAACCCTAAACCCCCCCCCCCCCAAGCGTGCTGCACTGCCGACAGTCCTCCGCCGCTACCTCGGCCGCAGCCTCGGCGGCAGCAGGCCTCGAGCGATTCGACGCCGGCGCTGCCGAGGTTTCTGGGGTTTGGGGTGTAGGCTTATTAGGCTTAGTAGGGTTTAGGGTTAGGGTTTAGGGTTTAGGGTTTCGGGTTCGGGTTTGGGGTTTTGGGTTTGGGGTTTTGGGTTTGGGGTTTGGGGTTTGGGGTTTAGAGTTCAGGGTTCAGGGTAACCTACTCTCGGGGGGCAGATTGACTCCCCCCCGTGGGCTTTAGGAGTATCACTGAACGTGTAATGCGAGGCTGCGATGGGGGGGGGGGGGTTTTCCATCATAATCCCTAGGCCCTAAGCCCTAAACCCTAAACCCTAAGCCCTAAACCCTAAACCCTAAACCCTAAGCCCTAAACCCTAAACCCTAAGCCCTAAACCCTAAACCCTAAACCCTAAGCCCTAAACCCTAAACCCCAAACGCATAATGGGGAGGGGATGAGGCCCAAGGGCTTGGGACTCCGCAAAGTTTACGAACGTAATTAGCTTTTGCCTTGTGTGTGCGCGTGTTCATGTATATTCTTCTTATTATCGATGTTGTCCGAGTTCTTTTTTCTTATTATAATTGCTACTGCTACTGTTAGTGTTTTTTCTGTGGTGGTTTTCGCCCGGCTTTTTCTCGGTTTGGTTGTTTTGGGTTTTGGAGAGTTAGCCCTCACTAGCGGGCGAGGGTGTGGTCTCAGGCTTGTGGGTTCAGCGTTGAGAGAGGTGGCTCTTGGGGGATTTTTCAGGGGGTATTCTGGTGTTCCGGAGGTTGATTCCCGTGGCCTGGTGCTCCTAACCCCCTAGGCCTTCAACCCCAAACTCTAAACTGCGGTTTAGGGCTTAGGGTTTAGGGTTTAGGGCTTAGGGTTTAGGGGTTAAGGGCTTCAACCTCCAGCGCCAGCCGTCTGGGAGCAGGACGCTGCTCTGCAGGATGCGCTGGCGCTGATCTGCGCCCTGGCGTTGTACCTAAGGACTCCAATTTGGAGACTCCAATATCCCTTAATTAAGCAAGATACCTTAAATCATATTAGGGATCCTACTATAATTTAAGGGTATATTCCTTAATTAAGGGATATTGGAGTCTCTGGGTACCCCCCCCCCCCACAGGCCCGGAGTCTGCCCGTGAGGGTTCTGGGCTTAGGGGGTGCTTGGCGTTTAGGGTTTTAGGTTGTTAGGGTTTTTTTTAAAGGGCTTTTAGGGTTTGTAGGTGTTTTTTGGGGTTTGTTGGGCGTTTAGGGTCTTTAGGGTTTTGGGTTTGGGGTTCTTAAGAACCCGAAGCTTCGCTTTCTTGGTAGGTTCTTGTGATGAACCCCCTGTTGGGTTTAGGCTTTCTCCCCTCTCGGAGTCTTCCCTCGTGGTTGAAGCCAGCAACTCTACACCGCACACGCCCTGCGGGGTGGGGGTTGGGGTTCAGTGTCAAGCCCTAAACCCTAAACCCTAAACCCTAAACCCTAAACCCTAAACCGTAAACCCTAAACCCTAAACCCTAAACCCTAAACCCTAAACCCTAAACCCTAAACCCTGAACCCTGAACCCTGAACCCTAAACCCTAAACCCTAAACCCTAAACCTAAACCCCAAACCCCAAACCCTGAACTCTAAACCCTAAATCCTTAAATCCCTAAATCCCTAAACCCCTAAATCCCTAAATCCCTAAAACCCTAAATCCCTAAATCCCTAAATCCCTAAATCCCTAAATCCCTAAATCCGTAAACCTCTAAACCCTAAATCCCTAAATCCCTAAACCCCTAAATCCCTAAATCCCTAAAACCCTAAATCCCTAAATCCCTAAATCCCTAAATCCCTAAATCCGTAAACCTCTAAACCCTAAATCCCTAAACCCTAAACCCTAAACCCTGAATCCCTAAATCCCTAAATCCCTAAACCCTAAATCCCTAAACCCTAAACCCTGAACCCTAAATCCCTAAAACCCTAAATCCCTAAATCCCAAAGCCCCAAACTCACACAACCGAGGCTTTGAACGCGACGCCATTCTGGAGCGCTGCGCAAGCGCGGATTCTTGGACCGTCTTTGGAGTTCATTTTTTTAGGGGTTTAGGGTTTGAGGGTTTAGGGTTTAGGGGTTTGAGGGTTTTAGGGGTTTGAGGGCTTGAGGGCTTGAGGGTTTGAGGGCTTCGAGGGTTCAGGGTTTAGCGTTTTGGGGATTAGGGCTGAGGCTTGAGGCTTGAGGGTTTAGTTCGGGTTTGTTGGGATCTTCGGCTTTCGGTTCTTCAGCCCCAAGCCCTCGTTTAAGATCCCCAAGCCCCGAATCGCAGAACCACCCTAAACCCTAAACCCTAAACCCTAAAACCTAAACCCTAAACCCCAAACCCCAAACCCTAAACCCTCAACCCCAAACCCTAAACCCTAAACCCTAAGCCCTAAACCCTAAACCCTAAACCCTAAACCCTAAACCCTAAACCCCAAACCCTAAACCCCAAACCCGAAACCCCAAACCCCAAACCCGCGACCTGCACCGCTTCCCCTATAAGGATCCCGCGCAGACGGGCACCATCGATTTCGAGATTTTCCAGCAGGCTCTGCATGTGACCAGCCCGCAAAGGAGGCAGAGAAGCCCTAAACCCTAAGCCCTAAACCCTCAAACCTAAAGTGGACCTAAAACACTGAATATCCCCAGCTCAACCACGCCCAAGCCTCCCAAAACCCGAAAAAGCCCTAAACCCTAAACCCGAACCCCTAGACCCTCAACCTAAACCCTAAACCCTGAACCCTGAACCCCAAACCCTAAACCCCAAACCCTGAACCCTAAACCCCTTCCCGTTTAAGGTGCCCACATGATCCATGATTGCTTTCGGAGGTAGATCTCAATCCTGGAGCCCCTGAGCCCCCGTTAGGGTTTAGGGTTCAGGGTTAGGGTTTAGGGTTTAGGGTTTAGGGTTTAGGGTTTAGCACTTAGGGTTTTTTAAGGTTTAGCATCCAGGGTGTAGGGTTTAGGGTTGAGGGTTTAGGAAGCAACCCAGAGCAAGCGCCACCTGAGCCCGAAGAAGCCACCAAAACCGAAGAAGCCCCGAGAAGTCCCAGAACAAGCCTTGCCCTACCCGTTCCCCTAAACCCTCAACCCTGAACCCTAAACCCTGAACCCTAAACCCTAAACCCTAAACCCCAGACCCTAAACCCTAAACCCTGAACCCTAAACCCTCAGCCCGAAAAAGCCCCTAGGCAATTCCAGAGAAAAAGCCTAAGAAACGAAAGCCCCTCAGCAAAAGCCAAACAAGTCGAATAAGCCCCAAGAACCCACCTAAGAAGCCTTCGAAACCCCCAAGCAACCCCACACCCTAAACCCCAAACAGTAAACCTTAGGCTCTAAACCCAAAACCCTAATCCCTTTATAAACAAACGTGAAAGAAAGAAGAAAAGCCTCAGAAGCCCAACCCCCAAACCAAGCCTCCCGCCCCCAAACCCCAAACCCCAAAGCCCAAACCCCAAACCCCAAACCCTAAACCCTTAACCCTTAACCCTAAACCCTAAACCCTATTCCCTAAACCCCAAAACCCTAAACCCCAAACCCTAAACCCTGAACACCAAAACCTGAACCTAACCCAAAGCCCAAAGCACTGCCCCAAGGAGCTCTGCAGCCCAAAAGCGCCGTGGGCGTGCAGTTAAGGAGCTTCAATTAGGGTTTAGGGTTTTAGGGTTTTAGGGTTTTAGGGTTTTAGGGTTTAGGGTTTAGGGTTTAGGGTTTAGGGTTTTTTTTGGGAGTTTTGGCACTTGAATCACATCGGGCTGCCTCGTGTAAGGCTTGGTAGCCCAGTGGGCACCCTTTACTTCTTTTTTTGGTTCTGGGCTCCCGTATAAAGTAGCCAACGAACAAATGTGTGCCCGTATTGAAATTGAAACATGGTTGCTGGGCTACTATAAGAAGGGATTTGGGGCGTGAATCTCCTGCCAGGACCCATCTGATCTCAAAAGCACGGGGGGCCCCCGCCCAAGAAAGTCGCGATCCTCGTAACCGCGTTGTGAGTTGCAAAGCGGCTGTCGTTGTGTCTCCCGCAGCATCCAGAGGTGAGAGCCCTTGCCAGCCCTGGATTTCGCGCCCGAGTTTCAGGCTTGCAAGATACCTCGCAAATCCTGCGGCCTCCGAGTTCCGGACTTGCAAAAGCCTCGCACATGCTTGCAAAGCCCTCGCAAACAACATCTTCCGGCCTGGCAAACACATTTCGTGATGGTCCCCGAGTTCGGCGCTTTTCAGGCCCTGCGCAGTTACAGATCCACGCGATGCACGCAGACTGATTAATCCTAAACCCTAAACCCTAAACCCCAAACCCCAAACCCCAAACCCTAAACCCCAAACCCTAAACCCTAAACCCTAAACCCTTGGGGCCGAAAGAGTTCCTAGGTGTCCTGGCAGCGCGTGTTCTTTCCCAAGCGCGCGGTACCCGCGCGGGTGGCCTATGCCCAGCTCCTGGCGTCGGTGAAGGCCTTAGGGTTTAGGGTTTAGGGTTTGGGGTTTAGGGTTTAGGGTTTAGTTTAGGGTTTGGGGTTTAAGGATTTGCTGTTTAGGGTTTTAGGGTTTTAGGGTTTAGGTTTGGGGGTTAGGGTTTGGGGTTTAGGATTTGGGTTTTAGGGTTTAGGTTTGGGGGCTAGGGTTTGGGGTTTAGGATTTGGGGTTTAGTGGGGGGTTTTGGGTTTAGGGTTTAAGGGTTTAGGCTCCAGGGAAGAAGAGCTTCGGGGTCTGATGCCAGTGGTGTCGAGTTGACGTTTGCGCAGTTTTGCGGCGCCCCTCAGATTCAGACGTCGGCCGGCCTCTCTTAAAGGCCTGTACGTTGGGGATGTTGCCCCTTCTACTAAGAGTCCGTAATTGGGATTCTAGTACCCCCCCAGTCAAACCCTAAACCCTAAACCCTAAACCCTATTAGGGACTGTTAGTATCAGGGCGCAGCATCTCAACCTCCACGAGTGGTGGTTGTTCTGTTTGTTCGCGCCGCCCTCGGAAGCAGGAGCACATGATGTCCATCGTTTAGGGTTTAGGGTTTAGGGGTTTAGGGTTTAGGGTTTAGGTTTAGGGTTTAGGGCTTAGGGGTTTAGGGCTATCGCTCCCGAGTCCATGCACAGTCCCACCGCCACCACCACCGTCGCCGCCGCCATCACCACCCCCACCAGCAGAGTCCAGGGTTTTGGGGTTTAGGGTTTAGGGTGAGGATTTGGGGTTTAGGGTTGAGGTTTTTAGGGTTGAGGGTTGAGGGTTTAGGGTTTAGGATCTGGGGTTTATGGCTGCTGGTTTCTGGACTTTCTCGCCCTCTGCTCTACGCAAGAACCCCTGCAGCCCAAAATGCTAATCCCAAAAGCACAGTCACAGTGTGTCCTAGCCCTAAACCCAGACCTTCGATCCTAAACCCTAAGCCCTAAACCCTAAAGCCGTAAAGCCCTAATCACAGATGCG